TAGAAAGTAATATTACACATAAGATGAAACCCTCTAGGAAATAGTATTATATGATTTTTAAAACCCCACAGATCACTTTAGAAAAAAACATAATCAGCAATAAACAATACTAAAAACAGCACAGGGTAATCACTGGAGATAAGCAGTCTAAAACAGATCAGTTTTAGTCTTGATTTAAAAAGAGGTTAATTATCAGCATTATTGGGAGGAACTGAATTCCACAGTTTGGGAGTAGAGCAAGAGAAAGCTCTCCTCCCCACGGTGAAGACTGGCAGGAGGCTCAATAAGGTGGATGGAAGAGGGAGATCTAAAGATTCAGGAGGGTGTAACAATCTGGAGGAGATCCGAGAGGTATGGGGGATCAAGATTATGGACGACCTTTAGTGGTAATGGGAGGATTTTGAACTGAATTCTGAAGTTAACAGCCAGTGAAGCTCCTGTAGGTGACATGATGAAATGAGGGGTGTTATGATCGGTTTAACGAATCTGACCCACATGCAGAGAAACCACCCAGAGAGCACGGAAAAAATTTTAACAGGTTTATTGAAGGAGTAAACAGGAGTTGGATCAGGACCTTAGTGAGCTGGTAACCCGGAACTGGAACTGAGAAGGGAAGTTCAGTGGTCAGTTCAGGTAACGTGGGAATCTTGGAAGCTCTTAAATTTTGCGAGGATGGGACTCACATTTGAGGGGGACCTTGTTAGTCCTTGAATCCAGATTGTGTGGTAAATCCAGAGAAGAGTGAACACGTTGGAGGGCGGACAGGTTGACAAGCGTGGACCCGGAGGAGTAATGGAGCGGACTTGTCACTCGGATTTCCGATGGGTACTTGAATGGAACATGCGGAGGTTTTCCCGGTTTTTTTCCTTCCAGGGGAGAGAAGGTCCAGGAATCCAGTAACACAGGAAAGCTTCCTGCCGGGGAGCAAAGACAAAAAAACTCGTTAGACTCAGAGAAACAAAGCTAGGTTAGACTCAGCTAAACTCAGCTTAGCTACCCAAAGTAGCCAAGCTGAGTACCCAAAACTGGCAAACACTCTGGCGTTGAGGTAGTGACAGCCCAGTGCTCAAATACTCCTCCAGATAATGATCCAATGAGCCGCAGGTGTGCAGGGAGGGACAGCGAAAACAGGGCACCTCCTGGTGGTGAAAAAGGAAAACACACAAACAGGCCACACAAACTGGATTCCTAACAAGGGGGTTTTGTTAATTAAACATGCTGCTGAATTCTGGACCAACTGAAGCCTAAAGAGTGATTTCTGAGGAAGACCAAAAACAGGATAGTTGCAGTAATCAATACGAGAGATGATGAGGCGATGGACAAGAACATAAGCAGAGCGTGCTGAAAGAGAGGGAGGTGACATTGAACGTTTCGTAGGTGAAAAAAGGCAGAATGGGTAATGTTATTAATGTGGGAGGTCCTCCTGATAATCACAATGCTGATAATTTACCTCTTTTTAAATCAGGGCTAAAAACTGATCTGTTTTAGATTGCTTATCTCCAGTGATTACCCTGTGCTGTTTTTAATATTGTGTATTGTTGATTATGTTTTTTGTACAGCTCCCTATTTCCTAGAGAGTTTATTTAATTTTATAATAAGAAATTCTAAAAGTTTAAAATAACAAAAATATCTCTGACCTTAATAGTTTCAGCAGTTTGCTGGTGACCTGTTGAAGGTTCAAAGTTGAATTCAGGGTTATGCAAATCAGACAAAGGTTAGAAGTGTACTAATTTCCACAAATATTTGAATATTTGTGTAACCCGACTCCTTACCAGAAGTTGGTCACACGGTTATGGGAAATGGGTCGATAAATAAAAAAATAAAAAAAGTGCACTGGAGTGCACCTGATTACCTTATCATATGAGCACATCAAAACAACCCACTCCATATTTTTGTTTGGTTGCCGAAATGCCAAATTGTCAGACATCTCCATTACTTTTGAGAAGTTATTTTATTCCAAACCCTTGTTCAGGCCTGCCCTCTAAAGATCATCACTAATTAGTCTCCAGAAAATAATAAGCTGGATATTCAAGTATCATATGTTTGAAAAAAAAAGGGTTTGAGTATCTGAAAATGTTTTTTTCATTGATGCCATAGAGTTTAAAACTAAAGATGCCTGAATCTTTATGTCAACACTAAAACCTTCACTCACATGGGAAGATGTGACACATACTTCACCATTCTACATGATCTAATCATAGATCACATGGAAGAAGAAGTATAAAATTAAATTTAAAGCATAACTTAATAATATTCACCCAGTTGGTTAAATTTGGTCTTTCTTATTTATGTTTAAATATTCCAGTGTTGATTAAATAACATGTATATATGCACTATGTTGTACATTTAGTTAGACAACTAAACACATTCAGGAATAACCAAATGATAAGGTCTATTTTTTCATTATTATCATTCTACACTGTAAAGTTGCAGATACGATTTAGACTGAATCAAATTATGATTGACCAGGAGAGGTGATGCTGCTCATCAACATCAAAGTTACACGAAACTTATTTATTGTCTTTGTCTTTTATAGATAAACATCCTCTTCAATTTAGACAATTTGCCTTTTTATTTTATTTTTCTGCCTATTTATCCGAGAATTTGTAGACATTAATGGCCTTCATTTTTTTAATGTGGACATGTTAACATTCAGTTTAAATAGTTTTTGGTGAAAAAAAAGAGAAAAAAATCAAGGCACATTGATAATTTCTTAACTTATTGTAGTAATAAAGATTTGGCATTGGTATAAGCAAGGATAGTTTATTTGTCTCTCATGGAAGAAATTTGTCCTCGAAGAGAGGGCAATGCAGCAATATAACAGAGACAAACCATGTTCCAATGAATAAATATGTAAAAAAAAAAATAATAATAATAATAAATAAAAACACACTATCATAATCAACATCATCACCATGTTCATCATCATCATCAACCTCATCATAATCATCATCATCATTATCTTCTGAATCTCCTGTTTCTCTGTTTAGGCTCAGCTAGATGTCCATTGATTTGCTGGTTGGTGGAGAGTGCATTTATCCATGGGGGGCACCTTCAAAACAGTAATGATACATAGATTACCTATTTTATGACATTTAACACTAGTAGACAGCATCCTGGTGACATCAAACATTCTAGTTCCAGCCCAGCAACGAAGGCCCCCATCTTAGGAGGGGTAAACCTTTGCTTAGCTACAACAGAGGTAGACTGTACTCTAGATTTTTTCATAAGATTTCTGAATACCAAGAAAACTTGCTACCAAGACATAAGGGAAAAATTAGCTCTAATCAACCGGAGAAACAGCAACAGGGCAGGGAGAGGCAACAGCTAACAGAGCTATAGATACTAACTGCATAGGATCGAGGGATCATGGATGGCAGATTGGCTAAGTCCACCAGGGAAACTGTCATAAAACCCAGAATGTAGGACCCAGTATTCAAGCGAGACAGACAGTGGGAAGTTTCAAAACGTTTCATAACAAAACAAAACTGAGACAGCACAGAACAAGAGCTGCTGTGGATCTGCGGATCTGCAGGGGGGCAGGGGGGCCGCCCATCACTGAAACTCTGGAGGGAGAAACACAGGTAAGTGACAATGATAATCTCAATTAGATCAGCTATCAGGGCTGGTAGAGGCCACAGCTTACCGAGGCTAGCCTCTAGGCTATCTGCAGGAGACAGAAGGAGAAAAATGCCCCCCACATAACTTGTGAAAGTATCACTCACTAAAAATCTGTCAATCAAACTTTTTAATATTCATCAGTGGTCATGTCTTACTTCTATTCCTCTCTTTCCAAACATCATGATGCTGTTATCTTATCCAAAATACTGCAGGCAGAGTTCTGATAAAAATTAAAAATAGAGATCATATATATCCTATCCTAGCTTCTCTTCATTGGCTTCCTGTTAAATCCCTGATAGAATTTAAAATCCTCCTTCTCACATATAAAGCCGTACATAGCCAAGGTCCATCTTATAACAGAGATATGATGGGAGGCAGATCTCTTAGTTACTGTATCAGGCTCCTCTCCTGTGGAACCGACTACCGTGAGGCAGACACCCTGTCTACTTTTAAGAGTAGGCTTAAAACTTTCCTTTTTGATAAAGCTTATAGTTAGACTGGCTCAGGTTATCCTGAGCTATCTCTATAGTTATGCTGCTATAGACTTAGACTTCTGGAAGACATATGGACCCCTATTTCATAATTCTTCTTCATTCTATCTCTATTCTCCCACTCTGTAGAATCTGTTAGTTCAATCTGTAACGTTATGCTCTCTCTGCTTTTTCACATAGTAGCTTTGCGTGGTCTGTTCCTGTTTGGCTGTGACACCATCCGGGAAAGAAATATCAGCTGTGCTGCTACCATCAACACCTTTGTTATAGATATTCGGGATCGTCCTGTTTTTCAGTGCAGTCCTTTTTCTCTGACTCTGACTGGCTGGATGGGCTCTCTTCATCCTCTGACATGGGAGTTGGGTCGGAGCTCGTCTGCCTGGCTGTGTGTTTCCTGGACGGGCCGCCTTTTGCAGTTGCATTTTGTTTCTCTTTTCTCTTTGTTGCCATTTGGTTTCTGTCCTTTATAGAATAGCCTAACAGTAGGTTAAGATTTATTAGACAAATACATAACACCACACAGACAGTTTGCAGAGGAAAGTTGGTACCATTGATAATCTGTATAATTTTTTCATCAAAACCTAGTGGACCTGTCTCTGGTCAAAATTCCATTTTTTGACTCAGTACAGCCCTCTTCTGTGTACATGGCGGTGTGCTCTGAACTGGGCCGTTGACCTCTGCAAATCATATTTCTCAGAGTCCTCACATCCATTTACCATTGAAGATCGATCCCCCTTGCTTCAGAGGAGATGTTGATTGGTTGCCTAATGAGAGGGATGTGTCTATTAATCTTTAAACAATGGCATCATTAATCATTAAAAGCGCAGGCAAAGCTTCAGATCTGTAGTTCGTTTTTCAACTCTTTGCAGTTTAACTCCTAAATCAAAGATGTGGAAGGCTGTTCTACCTTTTCTTGCAGCTCTTTTTGTTGGATTGTCTTGTATGCCTGGGGGCATCTTTAAGATAGAAGATGCAGCAAATCATGAGGGGTTCCAGAGAGCACTGAAGTTTGCTGTTGCCCAACACAACAACAGGACCAATGACACGGCCCTCCGCCAGGTCACCGAGGTGGTCTCAGCAGAGTCTCAGGTTGGTAATATTTAGAAAATGTAGTAAAATGTAGGTATATAATCAATTTATTGGGTAATTGTCCTGTACTAAATAAATGTATTTTGACCAATTAATGTGAATTCCATGTAAATAACTTAATATAACTTAAAGGTCTGTGTTAGTTTTTGTTTTTGTTTTTTGCTACTGGTGTTTTTTAAGTATTCTTGCTTTCTTTGCTTCTCCTTAAAGGTGGTAGCTGGGTTGAAATACATCATGACGGTGAATTTAGCAAGAACCAATTGTGAAAAGGGGGGATCAGAAGAAAACTGTGCTGTCCACAAAGAGCCAGAACATGCTCAGGTAAAAACATTAGAGAGAAAAAGACTGACTGTAAACTTTGGGATTTAAAAAGAGAAATCTCAAAATAAAATCTGATATTTCAACATTTTATAATGTTGAAATGTATCCAGCTTTTAAAACTACTTAGGGATAATGTTTTTCTGAATAAATGTACGCAGATTGTCTGTCTTACATAAGTGTATTGTGAGCTTTCTTTTTCAGCCTTACCAGTGCCATTTCGATGTGTGGAGTCAGCCATGGCTTAACCATACCCAGCTGACCAGAGAGGAGTGCTCCAGTGCTTAAGTGATAATGAAAACAACTTTCCTTGTAATTTCTGCAAAGGATGCTACCTTTAAATCCTCCTAAAGTTACTTCAGTGAGCACTACTTTGTAACTTTCAAAGTATTCAGTATTCTTCAAAGCCATTGACGTTATTACAGATTTCTTGCACTGAAAATAAAAAAGCAATTATCATGCTAAATGTGAATGTGTTTTTATTTTTTTGTATAACAAGTTTCAAAGTTTGTTGCTGATCTAGTTTTGTGTTTGTTTGCCCTTTAATTGGAAATGGTTAACATGGAACAACTAAACACATGTTTTTGTACAATTTTAATCCAAATGCTGCATTGCTTTGCACTATTAACAACACTGCTTAACCTGGGAAATACTTTTTTACAATAGACAGATGTGAATAATTATAAAAAAAAAAAAAAAAAAAAAGAAAGAATGAAAATCTTTTTAAACGTGACATGGGTGTTTATTTAATCTGATAGCCTTAAACTAATTCTGGTTTATGTCAGCTAGAACCCACTTTCGAAACGTGTTAAAGGGTCCGCATTTCCTATCTGCATCTGCCTAGATCTTCTAGCCCCAGAACGACTCAGAACATTAAACATCCCTCTTAAGGGATGACTCAATCGGAACTAGACTATGACACTTTTATCTTAAGGAACATCAGAAATAAATGCTGAGGCTGTTGCCAGATAGCAAAGAGGTTGCAGCAAAAATCCCAGAAATTCTGAATTGTACTAGTAATTCGCCTCACCCCTGCAAGGAGCTATACATTGCATGCCTCACATGTTGTCAGTAGAATATGTGTCACCATTTTGGCGTTATCTGGTTTTATATCAGCCGTGCAACACTTAATGTCATGATCATGGCGCTGATGGCTGACTTAATTGCTCATTTCCTTCACCTGTCTAACTCTGCCCGGTTGCTCATTACATATCATCTGATCCACCTGTTTTCAGCCTATATTTATGTTGCCTGTTTTCCAGCCGTCAGTGCCAGATTATTCAAGCTGAGTGTGAAAAGTATCTAGTGTACCCAGTAGTGTTGTTTAACTGCCAGTAGTGTTGTTTAACTGATCCTGATCCGTTTTTGCCTTTGGATATCTGAGTTTTCGTTCGGCCCTGTTCCGGTCTGTCTCTGCCTATTTCCTGTGTTCGGACTGCTGCTTTGATTCTGCCAGTTAGTGAGCTTGGATCTGTCCCCTGACCCCGGCTTGGATTATCTCCCTGGTACCTCTGCATCTCTCTCATCTTCTGGTTAGAATGAAATACAGAAGAAAATCTCTTTATTGCCCCACAATGGGGAAATTCTGGTGTTTACAGCAGCAAAAGATTGTAGAAACAATGGTCACACAAATGTGTACCATGAAAGTGTAAATGTGGACCTCTGTAAAGTTTTTTATCAATATAAATACTGTGCACCTGAAGAATAAATAACCAATATACAGCTATGGACATTTTTACGGTAATGGATATTTGAAGATAGCAGCAACATCAGAGATGTGCAAAATGACAGCAGCATGTTATTTAACTGACTTAGAAAGAAACTTTACAAAATCAGTATGAATGTAACAACTTGAAGTTGTTGGGAACAGCGGTGGTAATAAAGTCTTATAGCTGCTAGGAGGAAGGATCTGTGATAACACTCACTGGTGCATTTAGGGTGCAGCAGTCTGTCACTGAAGGAGCTCTCCAGTTCTGAAACAGCTTTATGCATGGGGTGGGGAACCATTATACAACAGAAATGTTAATTTAGTTGGGATCCTTTTGTTTCCCACCTCCTGCATAGAGTCCAGAGGGCATCCAATCTCAGAGCTTGCCTCCTGATCCGCTTATCTAGCCCTTTTCTCTCAGCTACAGATAAGCCACTGCTCCAACAGACAGCTCCATAAAGGATTGCTGATGCCACGAGTAATAGAAGGTCTTTAGGAGCAACCCCGCATTGAAAAAGAGACCTCAGTATCAGCAGCAGGAAGAGTCTTCTCTGACCTTTCTTATACAGAGCCTCAGTGTTGTGAGTCCAGTCCAGTTTGTTATTTAGGTGAACACCTAGGTAGTTATAAGAGTCCTCTCAATGTCCTTTCCCTGGATTATCAGCCTTGTCAGTGGGGTGGATCTGCTTCTGTGAAAGTCCACCACTAGCTGCTAGGCATTGTATTGATCAGATTGTGGTTCTGCTGGCACCAGGCCACAAAGTTCTGGGCCCACACTCTCCAACAGCAAGGAGAGTAAATGGAGAAGTCTGTAGTGTAGAGGGTGAAGTGGAACGCTTTCATTACTCTTCCCTGTGGGACCCCCGTACTGCAAACAAATCTATCTGAGACACAGCTCTGTGCCCTCACATACTGTGGGTTGCCAGTGACGTAGTCCAGAATCCACTTGGATATGGTATGGTCCACTCCTGACAGCTCCAGTTTGTCCCTTAGGAGTCCTGGCTGGATGGTGTTGAAAGCACTGGAGAAATCAAAGAACATGATCCTCACAGTGCTTCCAAGTATCTCTAGGTGAGTCAGAGCTTGGTGCAGGAGGAAGATAATGACATCATCTGCCCCATTCCCAGGATGGTAGGCAAACTGCAGTGGATCCAATGAAGTCTTCACTAGGGTGCATAGATGGTGTAAGTCCAGCCGTTCAAGGGTTTTCATCAGGTTGGAAGTCAACGCTACCAGCCTGTAGCTGCTGAGGTCCTTTGGATGTTTTTTCTTGGCACCTGTACCACACAAGAAGTCTTCCACAGCTCTGATGATTCTCTCTGCCTCAGGCTTAAGTACAATATGGAACACAAGATGCCACACAGTTAATCTACACAGCATCTCAGAAGTCTGGAGCTGATGCTATCTGGAGCCTTGCTTCATTTCCTGCTCTGGATTCTGACTCAGGACCCTCCTGGTCTTCAGCATCTGCTGGCTTCCGCTCTAGATGTGGTTCTGCCCAGCTCCTGGAACTCTCTGGGCGGCTCCCGCTGCATGTTGCGGAGAAGTCATCTGACTGGTTCCCACTCTCTCCTATGGACACAGACTGAAATTAGAACCAGGTTATTGATTCACATGCTCGTTATTGTTCCGCGTCTAAGCCCAGTGATCACTAACCTGAGTGTCTGTCTCTAAGGAGAATTCAGAAAGCCAGTCCCAGCTGACAAGTCGTATATACCATAGCTTTCAATAACATGTTTTATCTTTAAACATTCCTGTTCTGTCTGCCTGAATTCTGAGTCCATTTGTCTGAGCCGTAACAGAATGGTCTGGCCAAACATGGACCCATTGGCAGACAGACAGTGGTGTGAGAGCGTTGAGCAGAGCATAACCCAATTGGAATCAGGTGGGTGTGAAATCCTCGGTCATCTGTGCGACCAGGTTTCGCCTGTTTCTTCTTCCCCGCACACCACAGCTACAGATTTTACACCTTTTCTCAGGAATTGATCCAAGAGTTCTGCCCAGTACACCCCAGCAGAGAGGCTTCTAGGGGTCTCTTCTACCTGGTCCAACGTCAAGAGTTGTTTACCGCAATTGCGGTCATACAAACAAAATAAGCTGGCAAGCGGATGTAGAAATGACCAATCAGATGCCTCCAGTCTGCAGCACTGTCTGCGGTCACCTACAATTTGGGAGAGGTGCAGCAGAGTTTCTGCGGAAGGGGCGGGGACGTCTTTGTGTTCACTGCGATACCTACACAGACGACCTAGTTTCAAAGTATAAATCAGCCTTAAGGGTAAGCTGGCCTGACGCGGTATGCTGAGCTCACAGAACACCGGACCGGCGCAGAGCAAATAGTCATCTGTATTTGGTTGATTTATTTATTTTTGTTTGTCAAAATTGTATGAAATTCTCAGAAATTAATTAATTTTCATTTCATTTCATTTTAACCTAGAGGAAAACTCAACTACAAAAGCCCACAATTCAACCACTCAGAGCAACACTTTGGCAGTTTCAAGGTATTCAATGCAAAATTGAATAAGCTCAAATGAAAAATTAAGAAAATGCACTGTAAAATAAAAATAACATCCCATAGGCCAGGTTTATTTTTAAACAAAAAAGGCAAATTTTTGTCTGTGTTCCCCTTTAAACAGGAGTAGGGCGATATACAAGACAATAATGAAAGAAAAACTGTAGAGGCTGCACTTGTTTAAAATAGAAGTGATTTACCTGTTTATATTATGACTGGAGTCATTAATCAATAATTTTCCATGGGGTAAGCAGTCCATCACATACACCTAAGCACACCTAAACCAAAGGCTGTTTTAACCTCAGAGACCAAAGCTTTTCTTGGTTTCCATTTTTCATTTTCTCAAGCTGTTTTGGTTCAGTTTGACCTAAAAGATAAAACCTTAAAACTAATCTTAACCATTCCCTGTTTTTTGTTTTGTTCTTATTTCTTTACTAAAGGGGTTTACTCATAGTACAAATCTAGGTACGGTAGTTTGGGAAGGGATAATTAAACAGGTTTAAATCAACAGCATTTTAAATCACTAATGAAAACCGCTTGCACAGAGAATTGTAACTCTTATTCTAGAGTCTAGTTTATGATTGATTTTATTATGTTGTTTTTATGTGTTTTTATATGTCTTACTGTACTGCTGCCTCTTGGCCAGGTCTCCCTCGAAAAAGAGATTTTATCTCAAGGGACTTCCTGGTCAAATAAATTAAAAAAAAAATAATAATAAAATAAAATCCATGCTGGTTCAGAGCAAAATAATGCATTTTCCTCCCTGCATGCAGTCAGCCAAGCCTTGTAGCTAAACCAGGTCCTGCAAAAAGACAGTGTGTACCATCTCCATCTGCCTTTGGACTGTTGATTAAATTAGATGTTCGGCTGATAAGCTCCAAGTGCTTTCACCTCCAGCTTCTCTTGGTAAGTTTGCTTTAAGGGATTTCAGTCACTTCCGTGACTCAACCTGACAATCAAGCACACTACAACTGTGACGACAGTTCCTGCCACCTCAGGGCGCACCTCTCCTATACCTTTGTATTGCAGAGGACTTACTGCGCATGTAAAACGTTTAATGAGAGTCAATGGCCAAAGTCGTTTTTCGCCCTAGGGCAGAAATACTTTGCCAATTCAGCGACAAACAAAGCAGCTTTACTCGTCATTAAAGATTTATCTTGCACATCTAAAATAATTTTATATATTTCAAAAAATTTTAATATTATAATAGCTTTTTTTTTTATGTCGTAATCAAGGTCTTTGAGTGGGTGCAAAGGCACCCTAGCGCCCTCTATTGACCAGCCGCCATACTTCTTTTCCTCTCTGTCCAGACATCAAGATCCTCTTATACATTGTTCAGGAGGTTAACTAGAACAAGCAGCCATTTGGTTTTTGTCCTTTATAGAATATCTATACCTAACTGTAGGTGTAGATTGATTAGAAAAATACATAACACCAACAAGACCGTTTGCCACCTCTATCAGAGGAAAGTTTGGTTCCATTCATAAGCTTTATCATTTTCCATCAACACCAGTTGGATCTGTCTCTGTTTAAAATGCCATTTTTTGTCCCAGTCATGCCCTGTTTTTTGTACATATTTGTATATCCCTGAAATGGACCACTGACCTCAGGAAATTCTATTTCCAGAGGTTTTTTTCAGAGTCCTCACGTCCATTGACCGTTGAAGATAGACCCCCTTGCTTCAGAGCTATTTAGCTGTTGGTTGGTTTTACTGATGAGTGGGATGTGTCTGTTAATCTTTAAGCAATGGCTTTTTTTTTTTTTTTTTATTTAAGGCGCAGGAAAGCTTCAGAAGTTTATTTCTTGTTTCAACTCTCTGCAGTTTTCACTCCTAAATCAAAGATGTGGAAAGCTGTCCTTCCTTTTTTTGCTGCTCTTTTTGTTGGATTGTCTTGTATGCCTGGGGGCATCTTTAAGATAGAAGATGCAGATAATAATGAGGGGTTCCAGAGAGCACTGAAGTTTGCTGTTGCCCAACACAACAACAGGACCAATGACACAGCCATCCGCCAGGTCACTAAGGTGGTCTCAGCTGGTTCTCAGGTTGGTAACATTATAAATAGTTTACTGGTATATAATCAGTTTAGTGGGTAAATTTCCTATTATAAATTAATTAATTAATTTTGACCAATTAGCAATGTGTAGTCCATGTAAATAACAAAATATAACCTGAAGTTCTGCTGCTGGTGTGTTTTTAAGTATTCTGGATTTCTTTGCTTCTCCTTAAAGGTGGTAGCTGGGTTGAAATACATCATGACTGTGAATTTAGCAAGAACCAATTGTGAAAAGGGGGGATCAGAAGAAAACTGTGCCGTCCACAAAGAGCCAGAACATGCTCAGGTAAAAGAGAGTAAAAGACTGACTGTAAATCTGATATTTCAACATTTTATAATGTTGAAATGTATCCAGTTTTTAGAACTACTTAGGAATAATGTTTTTTCTCAATAAATGAGCATAGAGTCCCTGTCTTACATAAGTGTATTGTGGGCTTCTTCTTTTTTTTTCAGCCTTACCAGTGCCATTTTGATGTGTGGAGTCAGCCATGGCTCAACAATACCCAGCTGACCAAAGAGGAGTGCTCCACTCTTGAAAGCAATTGACCTTATTACAGTTTCCTTGCTGTAAAAATAAAAAAGCAAAATGTTAAAATGAAGGTATTTGATGATAAAAGACGTTTTTCAATAAATTTTAAATCCCCTGAATGTGTTTGTGACATGTTTCAAAGTTTGTTGCCGATCTAGTTGTGCGTTTACTTGCCGTTTACAGTAATTGTTTTGGTGCAATTATAATCCAAATAGTTACAGCATCTTATAAATATAAATAATAATGCTTAAGCTGGGAAATGCTTTGTTAATAGGCAAATTTGAATTATTGTAAATGTTTGGTGGGGGTTTTTTCTAGGTCAAAATAAAGAACCTCATAATGGTGAGCGGAAAGAAAATCTTCTTAATTAAATGTGAGAATAGAGTTTATTTAGCACCTTTTCATCTGACAGCTTTAAACTGATTCTAGTTTATATCAGACAGGACCCACGTTGGAAACGTGTTAAAGGGTCCACATTTGCTGTCTGCATCTCTTCTTAGCTTTTCTAGCCCCAGAACTAATCTCACAATATAAAAAGAAACCCTCTAAATTGATGACTCTCAATCAAAACTAGACTTTGACAGATTCATCTGAATAACACAAAGACATACAGGGATTACAGAGATCAATGCTGAGGCTCTTGCTACACAGTAAAGGGGTTGCAGCAAAAAAAAACAAGAAATTCTGAATTGCAATAGTAATTTACCACACCTCTGCAAAGAGCTATGCATTGCATACCTCACATATTGTCAGAATGTGTCACCATTTTGTTGTATACCTGGTTTTATGTTTTATGCAAAACTTAATCTAAGTGTTCCTGCATCATTCTAATCAACCCGATTCCAGACCGTTCCATTATCAATCCTACGAAGAAACAACTGCCTCAGAAGTTGTCTCTATATGCTGCCTAATATTTTCCTATGTTAACCGCCTAACTGCAGCCCTTACAAACTTTAGGTCACTAATCCTTAAACGTACATCAGCCAGGATGATTATTCTTATCCATATCCTAACACATGGTGAACAAAAGAAAGAAGGTATGAACATAAACGGCCAAAACTGTTTTTTGGTGCATTTCATTCCTATAAATTTTAATTATTTTCAATTTGTGGGGATTTTATATTTAACTACAGTTATTAACAAGATAAATGGGATGACTTGTATTTATCACTGAACTATCTGGCATGGAAAATGTTGTAGGGGAAAACTTACATAATGACGGCATCATTGCTATAGTGAGTTATGAGGATGGCAGAACCATGTTGTTGGGATTTTCGTTCGTTTGCTTGTTTGACATGACAACAACCTGAAATGAAATTTTACAGAACCATAGTCGTGCACCTAAATGACCCAGTTAAAAGTCCAGATAAACATTGAGTTAATCAATTGTTCCACGTTTACCATGCTGCGACCTTTGGGTTATTGATAGCATTTTAGGGAATTCTTTGTCAAAACACTCATGGAAATCATCAGCATTTTCCAAAAATCTGTCATATCTCTAAAAAATGAGTACAATAAACGAATTGTTTGTACTCATTATTGGACATTTCTGAAATCATACTTTAGCTTTGTGATTAACTTCTCTCCGTTTGATACCAATGTGCCCATGTGATGGATAAGTGGACGGTGACCTGAAAATGTGTCATGCCTTTGAACCTTTTAGCCATTTTGTTTCTTTAAAGCTACAAACCTTGTGGTTTATTATGGTGATTTTATGTAGGCCATGACCAAACGGTGCATCATTGAAAAGTGAAAGGAAACAAATATTCTGATACTGTATAAATCAAAATCTGAAAAGTGAGTTTTTCCTTTTTTTTAGTCTTTCTAAGTCAATATAATTTACTACAAACCTATTACACCTATTAACCTTTTTCTGTTTTTAGCTATGTCATTCTCTGCACAGCAAATTTAGATTTTTTTTTTTTATAAAATCTCTGCGAGTGAAAAACAACTCAAGTTTAGTACATTTTATTCCAGCAATGAGTAAACTGTTGTTGTTTTTTTATTTGGTTGAGCTTTAACCCCTTTAACTAAAATTGGTTCAAGATAAACTAAGGCCCCATCCACACGAAGTCAAAACGAACACGAAACGCTGATATTTTCCAAAACCTTTGCCGTAAAGACGGAGACGTAAAATAAATGTGAGCGTCCACACGAATGCATGAAAACGCTGCAAAATGTATGCCAGGCCTGTAAGTGGCGCTGTGGTGCCAAAGCAAAAATGAGCGACGAAATGTTGTGCATGCGCACTAATATTTATACATGGTTGCCCTGCGGGTCCATTTTCGTGGTTAAGTCAAATTCAGGTGCTGAACTATGTCGTCGATATTGCTCTGTTCTTCCTGGAGATATTCCAGAAGAAGAAGATTCTGTTGTAAGCCCGACAGCAGGGTGAGTAGCATCAGCAGCAACGGCGCCATTGTTGTTGTGATACTGGTCGCGCATGCGTGTTTAGAGGCGACGCTATGACGCATGCGTGTAAAAAAAAATATGCGGTTAGAACGTAAAGATGGAAACGCGAAAACGGCGTTTCAAAATCTTCCCACTCTGAAGGCTGAATAAAAAAAAGATCGTTTACAGACCCCCGAAACGCCGGCTTCGTGTGGATGAGAGGCTGGTTTGGTGAAAAATTTGTGCGTTTAGGCCAGGGTTCGTCTTCGTGTGGACGGGGCCTAAATGAACTTTTCCTCTCCACTGTCGCTACATTCATGCTTGGGGTGAGGGATTGCTGTCAAGTCAATTAGTCCATGCTGGTTTCCTTAGAAAACTGAACAAATCTGACCTAATGATCTGGTGGAAGTCTCTCTTTAAAGTGCCTAGACATGACACATGTTTTGAATAGGTATTATATAAAGAAACTGAATTGAGAGTTAATAAAAAAAATACTGTGAGATTTCAGGAAGGAGGGGTGATAGAGAGACCAGGAGGGAAGGAGGCCACTGAAGATGCAACAGCTAAAGAAAGGAATGAAGATGAGAAAATTATGTTAGTATGTTAAATGACAAGCTTTCAGAGTCAGAGAGGAAACAGAAGAAAATGCAGAGGAAACTGACAAGACGCCGCAGAATTAGGGGATCCAGCCTTCCAACTGGACTACCTGAAAGTGGCAGAAAACAGACTGGCAGAAAGAAAATAGGCCACAAATAGCGGATTTACTTTAGCCCCCGCTTTGGTTTTGATGATTTCATTTACGAACATGAAGCGTTTTATAAATGCATATCTTGTTAGTTTCAGGGCCGGCTATTTAGCGCCCTCTGGCGGTAATCTACCTAAACTACTGCTCGCAAATGAGTTGTTTTTGTTAACAAATTTGTGAATTTAAAAAAAATACACGGAGGGTCTCGTTTAAGTGCTAATTGTCAAATATGATTATGATATTAATATGCACTGCGTGTTTATTCTTTTTCATTATTTTACGTACATTTTTATTTTATATTCAAGTTGTATAGTATGTTGCAATGGAGTCTGTGAAAATCGAAATTCAATTAAAGGTTATACAACAATACTGATAATATACCATTTTTAATAATATTGATGTTTAAATTTGATCGAGTCGAATAATAGTTCACAGTTTGATACTTAAAAGAATTGCAAATTGTCCAACATTCCAGATGGTTAAAAGAGAGGCTGGATCCGGATGGTGATTTATTTGCACAGATTCTAAAGCTGCAATAGAAAGCATTCATTCAGGAGGGAATAATAGGAAATATGTTGTATTAGAAATCAGAGTTTGTTTAGGTTATTTAGGTATGGAATAGATGTTCAGTTCCGGTGGGTTCCAGCACAATATATATATATATATATATATATATATATATATATATATATATATATATATATATATATATATATATATAGACCAGATTCCATTTGGGAAAGGTGAAGGTAAATCAATAATTAAAAAGATTGAAACAGAATTTAGGGTTCAAAAATCTGTAATTGTTAAAAGTTAAGGAGAAAGAAGCAGAAGGGAAGATAATATAATTTATACTAGATTAAGAACTGGACACGCCTACTTGACTGAGGTTTTGTTTGTACTATGGAAGATAAATAATGATATATATGAGGGCTGAGAAAAAAAATTATTGGATTGTGTTTTGATGGATTGCATTAAATATGCAACTGAAAGAGAGAGGATGAGTAATGTAATTATGGAAAAAGGGAGAGAATGAAGTATTAAAGGAATTTTAGGGACAGATGACAGGGAGGAAATTTTGGTTATTATTAAAGCATTGTTTTTATTTTTACATAACACAAAAATAAAAAATAGAATATAGTAGGTGGAACTATAGAGCTACACACTCATGTACAGTAGGTGGCGGTATGCACATATGAGTTGTTTGCAATCCGCCAATCTGACTTTAATTTATTTATTTTTTGTTTGTTTGTTTGTTTGTTTGTTTTTAAGCATATGCACTGATCGATGGCACATTTTAAATTTCGTTGTTCTTGTGACAATGACAATAAAGATAAGTTGAAATTGAAATAAATTGAAATTGACAAAGAGGAAGAAGAAGAGGGGCGGGATTTGTGTCGCAGACAGACAGCCGATAGGCTGCGCGCGCTGTGCGCACTTCCTGTTATGAGTAAATCCTCTTTATAAAACAGCTAAGCCTCTCTGTTGTGCTACGCCGAGTCATACGCAGCCGGAAATAAGTAGAGAAATAGTGTTAATTCACTGTGCTTTCTTCCTTGGTATCGCACTAAAAGATGGCGTGGAAAATGGTGTTGTGTTTCCTTTCAGCTCTTTTTGCTGTGGAGGCCAGTATGTTAGTTGGTGGGTTTAGAGACATAGACGTCAAAGACGAAGGGGTCCAAAATGCGCTGAACTTCGCTGTTGTCCAACACAACAGAGGAACCAACGACATGTACCTTCATCAAGTGGCTGAAGTGGTCAAGGCTCAGGTTCAGGTTGGTTAAATTTAAATTAATATGTGTATGTTTACTGCATATAACCCGTACATAGGAACAGAAAACAGTGAGGTAAAAGTGAAACTTCCAAAGGGCAGCCTGCTGATTTGTTGACGTATGTTCTAACTTGATTTGTGTTAATCTGCTTTTTAAGGTGGTTGCAGGGATGAAGTACATCCTAACTGTGAAGATGGAAAAGACTGCCTGCAGAAAGAACGTGGCTATTGAGCAATGTGACACCCAAAGCAGGCCAAGTAATGCCCAGGTAAAAAAAAAAAAAAAAAAATGCATTGTCAATCAGATCACATTTGCATGTGATCTGATTTGGAAATGTATCTGAACCAAGCCAAAATGATTGTATTACTCATGACCCTGACTGTATTTTGATTTTTCAGCCTTACCAGTGCACCTTCACTGTGTGGAGCCGCCCGTGGATGAATGATATCAGGCTGCAGGAGGAGAAATGCTAGAAAGGGGTCTTCTCAGCACCATTAGCACAACAAGCTTCAGTTAACATTTTGATGCGTTTTTCTTTAAGATGAACAAATGTAACCATTCCTGTCTAATTCTTTACCTTATATATCGCTAACCTCTTGTTGAACTCCAGGTTTTTCAAATCTCACTATAGCTTCTTTGTGGGAAAAGGCAATAAAGTAACAAAACACTTAACTGCTCATTAACTTGTAAAGCTTGCACAGTTTAAAAATAAATGTGTTTTTGAACTTTTATATTTGTCTCCATGTGATTATTACGTAATGTTTGTTTAGTTTGGACTGTACAGGTTGTGATGGACAATAAGGGGGTTTCAATGTTATTCATTTCATGTAAAAGGTCTTCAAATTGTTCTGATTCAAAGTTCCTCTTGACCTTTTGTTGAAAACGTCCATTCAAATAACTCTTCTGCTTCCCAAATTGCTGAGTATTTCTCTAAATATCCAAATACTTTATAAATCAATGGAAAAAAAAATGTTAAGAGTTTACAGTAATCGAGGATGGAGTTGTATACTATACATTATTAGTAACCAGATTCTCCTATGTTTTAACTTATGATGGCAGAGATTCATCTGCTCTTAACCAACATATACTCTTCACAGCATTCACCCACCAGACCGAACCATTTGGAGGATGAATCAAGACTTCATCCTGTTTATGCCAAACTCTGAATCTGACATTAAGAGTAAATGGAGCAAGAAACTGTTTGCAGTGATATTTTCCAGTGTGCTCTTCTGCCTCTGTAGCCCATCCGCTTCAATATGTTTCTGACATCAGTAACGTTCACACAGCTTGTGCTCAATATATATTTATATTCAATGCTACTTTTTGAGTAGGAATCCCAGTAGATTAGTAATCTCTGAAATATTCAGGACAGATTGTCAACCATGCCCCATTCTGGTGACCAGTTCAGCAGGCTGCCCTAAATACATCCAGATGCCACAACATATTGAGTTGTTGCTATGTGACTGATTTGTGTTAAAACCATTGAACAGCAACATACCTCAAGTTGATTTACTGACAGTGGTTCTTTTTGTTTTTAACAAACAGCTTTGCTTTGAAAAGTGGCAGACTTTTTTTTTTTTTTTTTTTACAAATAGAATAATGTATGAAGAAGAGCAAACTTATGACTGTAGATATAAAGTTCTTATATTTGCTTATAGGACAATCAGAATAAAAGGATGGTTATCGGCTTGTGGTTCAATGATAAACCCATGAATCATCGAATACTTGTGGATTTGTTCCTGAAGAGGCTGATATGTGAGGTGTCTCGGTTACGTGTGTAACAGTGCATAGTTGTGAAAATGTTTGAGATGTTTAATCGGTGATAAGCACAGTCTTTCAAAAGTGTTTTATCAAATTACAGCAAAGAGGAAACAATGGCACATATGTCTGTTCTGCAACTGGTGGACTGCCAGTTCCAACCCCAGTTTCATTTGTCTCAGTTGTGTCCTTAGGCAAGACAAGCCTTCCACTTCATTGATTACTGATGCTGATCAGAGGGCCTGGCAGTGCCTGTGTTTAGCAGCAGTGCTTCTGTCAGTTTGACCATACCATCTGTGTCCTTTGTTAGTTGATAAACCAAAAATAATAGTTACATAATTACAAATTCTGAAGACAAAGACACACACTAAAGTGATAACTTTGGGAGAAATTAAAATCAGAGTAATGTTTTATCCTGAGCAATCACAGTTCCTAAAATAGTCAGAAAAGGGATTCTTCTGACCATTTTCACCCAGCCCTAAAAAACAATGTATCAATAATCCTGACAGCTACATCTCTTAACCAAGAGGAACTAATGGGGCTGTTAAATCTCTTTTTGTAAACATATTTCTTATGTTTTTGAAGTCATCTGAAGAGAAATACGTTATATTTGTGTTACTTATATTTAACAGCAAATCCTTGCAACTAAATGTTTTCAGCTCATTTGACAAGATTCCCAGCTAAACAATTGTTTCTGAGACCAATTGAATATGTGTCATGCACTCCACAGATGAGGCATTTCGTGGGTGAACTGGCATGAATGCCTGTTTGATAAAGTGATTCTGATTTCCTGTAGGGAGTGCTGCAAACACATATATAAAGGTTTGTATCAAGGAATGAAACCAAACTTAATCTTTTGGTCTATATAGGGCACATAACAAGACAGAGAAGTAGGTGCTGTTGTCCCCAGACACCAAAATTAACCCTTATGTCAGAAAATACTAAAGCAGACAAATTTACACCTGATATTCCGATCTCCCCCTTCCTATATCATTCCAAAAGGTTAAAAAAGTAAAAAAAGAAAAAAACACTGCACTTTGTTTTCCAAGTTCAAGGAGTCTGGATTTGCGTTAAGTCCCAAGCTTTATAGAGTAGCCCAACAAAAGCCCTGTAATGGCTTAGAAAACATGTACATTGAACCGAAAAAACAGGTTCACCCTTAGTAATGCGAGTTTTTGAGGTTGTTGTTTGCCTGCAATACCTGATAGTGGCCCATGCCTCTGAAAAGAGTCATTAGTGTCATTGTTGGACTGGCTGACCAGGTGAGATGTTTTGGTCCCCTGCATAGCGATGGAGGGAAGGAATCAACTCTATCGCTGCGTTGTAGGTTTTTAAGAGCTGGCATCCCAGTGCTGCGTGAAAAAACACTAAATCATGTCACAGTCTCTGCATCAAACTGATCATATCAGTATGTCTTTTTGCATTATGTTTCTTTTTCTCCAAATTTTTACATTTTGATCACTACTGCACTTTAAGAAATGGAAATGTCATGAGAGCTGTACAAAAAAAAAAAGATATCCTTTTGCATACACTCTGTGTATACAAAATGAAAATAAAGTTTGTCATTTTGAAGCTGGCCCTAAATAAATCCAAAGCTTTTATTTTCTTAAGACTAGGCAGGAAGTTGTTTAAGCTCCACCACATTGGACAAATGAACCGACTGTCAATGATTTATAAGTTCCTGCTGTTTTTTGAACCAGCGACCACCTGAAAAACATATGTAGGATCTGTAAATTAGGAAGAAATGAAGGTGTTAAACAAAGAAGAGCTTCAGATGGCTGAAGGAGTCCTGCTCAACCACTTCCCGCGGAGCTTTAAGGTACTTTGCTTTGCATACCATTACTTAACGCCACCTTTATGCTTAAAAACTACTCTAACAACAACAACAAAAAACAACAGCTAAAACAGAACTGATTTTTTTATGATTTTTTTCCCCTAGGTCTATGGTTTCCTCTACGGGATTAACAGAAACAAGCCGAGCACTTTAGAGGTTGTTGTTGATTCCTGGCCAGATTTTAAAGTGATCCTCCTGCGCCCTGATCCCAAGGTGCGTTACTTTAGTAACTAACAGGGGGGGTTCTAGAGAGGGGCCAACGGGGGCCCCTGTTAACCCTGTTATGGGCCCTGTACTGAAGACATAACAATCAAAGAAATTCTAATGATGATATGCGCTGGAACAGACATGGTTACTGATAGGTCCTTTGGATCTATTCCCTTTTTTTTTGCTTTACAAATTCTGTTTTACTAATTATTTAAAAACAATAAGGCGATATCTTCAGTGGTATTGATATGATTTCAAGTTTTCATCTGCTAATTTTTTTTTTTTTTCAAAACAAATTGCTCAATTTTTTACAGCTGAATTTATCAGTTTTTCTTGAGTGCTAATTCATAATTAATTTATCATTAGTTTATAATAAAAAAAACTATAATTTTGACTTAAATTAAGTCAAAAGCATGTTAAATTCCTAAATTATGAATGAATATTGACCTAATCAGACATTACATTTTAATTAAACCTAACTGAATAGAAATTTCACATCATGCAGCTATCTTAAAATATTTTAATACCTTGCCCTGTTTTTTATTTCATGCTTTTCTGTGCCCCCATGAAAACACGCTGGCCCACTCCTGGCCCTCTTGTACGTTTGGTCTAGAACCGCCACTACTTTAGTTTATAGGTGGAACTGTAAGAAAATGGGAAATACATTCTAAATGATTTCAACTTTTAAAAAAACTATAGGATCAATAGAACCAAAGTCCAAATAAACAGTTTTGTCATGTATTTATGAGGTACACGTGTTTATTATTATTATATGTAGTAGTAGTAGTATTACAATGCAAAATTATATATTTTAAAATATATTCTAGTATATTACTTTTTTAAATACGTATGGCAATATTTTAATACAAAAATACACATTTATTGTATTCATGAATAAATACATGCATGTATTTTCAAACTTAAATTCATCATATCTTCAATTCTAAATGTTATAAAGTTATTTTACTCCTACTACTCATAAATAAGACTCCAAGGCAATCTTCTTATCTATAATATTTTGAGTCCTGCCTGCTGATTGTGATCGGAAGTCTTGAAAAGATTAAATAAATTTACAATGTAAAATAGGATTATAAGAGAACATTTGTATAATTCTAAGCTTTTAACATATATTGAATTTACATTTAACTAATTATTTTCCCAATTTGTTCTTTATTTCATAATATAATAAAACATTAAAATAATTAGAGATACGTTTGTTTATTAGCTGTACACATTTCCTATTGTAGCTGAGTTATAATATTTATAAAGATTTTTCTTGAGTAAGTATTTATGGAGGTGTTTACATTTTGGCCCTTTTCTGTAGAACAAACATTCCCAGGACTTTACGAAAAAGGTTTCCTTCTACAGCAGAGATGAGGAAGTTTTAAGGAAAATGCTGAGAGAAGAAGTGGACTGGAGTGCTTACTTCCTAATTGGAGGTAAGTTTTGTAAAAATTAAGCAAATGTTATTATTTCAGGTCATTTTAGTTTGGTGAGCTTTTAATACACGATGTATTATGACAGTAGGATAATTCAACCAAGGGCACTTAGAATAGTACAGGGATCAAAACGTATTGCATAATGAAATGAATGCATCCTAAATAAAATAAACCTATTTTTGTGATGTTATTTATGTGAGTCGAAATATATCAAAATGATCAAGGTAAAAACTAATTTGAATTGAGAGGAGGTCTTTCATTTTCAAATGGTTCCACAATTGGTTCTCAATTTAATTCAAGCTGGATTTTAGATTAACCTTTTAAGAAAACACATAAATTGGTTTAATAAAACCACTTCATTTAAGGCACACCAGACTTTTTTGTCATCTAAATGGTTTTCTTAAAGGGTTTCCCAGCTTTTAGCTCCATCCATCTCCCCCGTAAATTAAGACTAATTTCTCTGTCCCTGCAGAATATAAGCCTCCCAACTACATGATGCTGCCACCCCCATGTTCCACCCTAGGGAAGTTTTGATGGGGGTGATGTGCAGATTTTTTTCTGATTAAAAGTTAATTATATGATTGGACTAGAAGACTTTCTTTCACATGTTTTTTGTGTCCCACTGCATGTTTTATGTTGAACTGCAACCAGATACTTAATCGTTAAAAACATGTAGGTCATAGAAGGTCAAAAATATGAAAGCAACAATAGAAAAAGTAGACTATTTTATAAGCATAAATTCCCTACTTTAGAAAACAATGCTGTAGAGTTGTTGGTTTTGGTACATTGAAAAAACAGAGAAGTGAGAAACCTAAAAAGGTGAGTTAAGGAAACATAAAACCAGATTTTTTTAGGTGTGTAACTCATAGTTGTCCTGTGAACAGATAATTTTATCTGAGCTGTAGAGCTCTGCATCTTCTCAATGTTTTTTGCCCATGATAACTATTGTTTCTGTTTCAGATCAAACCAAAGTAGGCAGCCTTAGGAGCTTTTAATATATGATGCATTCTAAAAAGAGCAAAATGATAAAAAAGCTGAAAAAATAAATGAGAAATAATTGGAAATTTAAATATGTATCATACTGTTTTTAGTAATTTTCTCTATGCTCTATTGCTATTTTGATTTAAAACAAATGGAGAAAAAAAACACATTTAAAGAATCTTTTTTTTTTTTTTTTAGGTTTTGATTTTTCTCATTCACTTACTATCAAAGAAGTTTCCTCTGAAAAGAAAGTGAACAACAGAGGCTTTACATCAGTGCACCTTCTTTATCTTTCTGACCTCAGCTGTCTTCTCACACCAGATATTGACAGGTATGTATCAAAAAACTTTTCATTCATTACTCAATTTATCAAATAAGATTATTTTTTATCATTTCTCTTTTTTTAAACAGCCAACTCAAAACAAGGATTTCATCACTCAATCTCTCCCACGTTGACAAGGTGAATAAAACCTGGAAGTTTGGTGGGGATAAGAAGGGTTACAGGAACATTAAAAACCTGATTAGCAATTTCCCAACCTGTTGCATTATGGACACTCAGGGTGAGCCAGTGGCTTGGATCTTGGTGTATGATTACTGCGCTTTGGGTATGTTATACACACTTCCGGAACACAGAGGAAAAGGTTATGCCAAGGTTTTGATCAGCACCATGGCCAAGAAGCTCCATGCAGAGGGCTTTCCAGTTTACTGCTTCATAGAGGAAGACAACCTGGTGTCCTATAAGCTCTTCCAAAACATGGGCTTCACTGAGGATGATTCATACAGGGCACTCTGGTTTGAGTTGAACTTTTGATCTGGGAAATGAAAGAAGCAGCAGTTTTTTGACTCCTCTGGGTCAAAATGTCATTAAACTTGAAGAGAACATTTTATAATTGTAGTTGCTGTTTTACAAATTCATACCTTGAAAGAATGATTTGCATTTGCAGTTACTTACATACAAGTTAAATCAAATCAACTTTTTAAGCTGTTTTTTTTTATTTCAATAAATGTTTTTTACTCAAAACTCAGTAAATGAATTAAAATAATTAGAACAGTCACCTTTCAGGCATATCCTTTTTGATTTTTGTGCAATATTCAACAAGCACTTATATTACTTTTTGTAATTATTTAAAATTACATAATGTTTAGTTAAATAATTAAGTAATGTCTTCAGAGTCTTGTTATAGTAAAGAAATTGCATGCACTATGAATATGAATATCTATTATTTTGAAATAATCTGAAAATATATCTATATATATATATATTTAGTATCACTATCAAAGACACTACATGCTACATTTTTAAGAGTGTCTTCTAAGGATGTGGGTATACTGCAACTGTTTTTAATCTCTGTCTGCATAATAAATCTGTATTCTAAGCCAGTCCTCACTGTGAAATGTTATTGTGTTTTCTTATTACAATAAAGATCCTTGATTCCATGTACATACTACATTTTTTATCTAGCTGTATATAGCTGTGTATATATTTATCTTTTAAGGGCAAGTTTTTAGTCATGTTTTTTTGTTTTCTAAAATCCTTTAAATGTTTTTTTCTGAATACAATGTGTCTTTTAAACCAGAAATCTGTTAATTTTTTTTTTTACTTTTTTTCAGTCAGAATTCTGAATTTAATCTCAGAATACTGACTTTAATCTAAGAATTCTGACTTTAATCTCAGATTACTGACTTGATCTCAGAATTCTGACTTTTTTCTCAGATTTCTGACCTTAATCTCAGATTACTGACTTTAATCTCAGAATTCTGTCTTTTTTCTCAGAAGTTTGACTTTAATCTCAGATTACTGACTTGATCTCAGAATTCTGACTTTTTTCTCAGATTTCTGACTTTAATCTCAGAATACTGACTTTAATCTCAGAATTCTGTCTTTTTTCTCAGAAGTCTGACTTTAATCTCAGATTACTGACTTGATCTCAGAATTCTGACTTTTTTCTCAGATTTCTGACTTTAATCTCAGAATACTGACTTTAAT